TTATAAACTGGCTAGCCTATTAGTTCAGGCTTCTTATTAACACTTATGATTCTCATAATTTTTGTCTGTGTTAGCCACGTGGCTTGGTATCTTTTATCAGTGAGACATTCTCATCTTGCTTCCTCTGTGTCTGGGTTAAGACTGCAGACTGACTGTTTCCTCTTGCCAGAATTCTTCTGTTCCTGTTGCCCCACCTCTACCTCCTGCCTGGTCACCCTGCCTATGCTTCCTGCCTGGCCACTGGTCATTCAGCGTTTTATTAAAATAATACAAGTGACAGTGTACAAGACCATTATCCCACAACAGAAACATGCTTGTATAAAAACCAGATTGACCACAAAAAGCCATTATCCTTTTTTGCCTTGGTTTGGTTTGCATTTTTAGATAGGCTATAGCTCAGACTTGCCTGGAATTCACTGTGTAGTAAAGGCTGACTTCAAACACATGGCAACCCTCCTGTTTCCACCTCCTATGAGTTAGTATTACAGATATGAGCCATCACACCTAGCAAAAGCTATTTCTTAAATAATAACTTTTATTAACAAATTATTTACAACATGCCAGTAGGTGACAGTGTAATCCAGTGAACAAACTGGCAGCCTGTGACCCATTGTGAAAATGAACCTTTGAATTCTTAATGTCCCGTGGAGCATCAGGAGCTTGGCCAGGACTGCAGGGCACTCCTGGCACATGGAGTAGGTGTGGCTACACATCCAGTGCAAGTAGCCAATCACAAGCCTGTGTTCCTTTGCGGTTGTGGCTTTTCTAACCTCTGGACTTGGCTGAGTGTACTAGACTTGCCCTCCTACCTCCCTAATGCCATGTAAGCAGAGAGAGATCAAACCTTAGGACTCTAGCTCCTAGCTCAGTATTAACACGGCAAAAATTCCATAAATGCCTGCCAAGAAAGAACACAAATCTACTTAGTTGAACAAATGGAAGGAGAAGGTCTTTTCTACAAAACTCTATTGTATTGAGCAATCTCTTGGGTAATACGAGGGTAACTTATTCTATAATTTCAAAACTGTCTCTTTATGTTTGCAAAGCTAGGGATTGAATCTCACACACACTTGGCAAGTAATTTACCACTGAACCACATTCCCAAAGTTCACATAATTTTTTACTAGCAGTTACACACACACACACACAAATGTAATTTTAAAAAGAAGCAAATATATACATTAAACATATAGTTAAAAAAAATTTCTGGCAGAAAGTATTTTTTTTAAATATTTATTTATTATGCATACAATAGTCTGTCTGTGTGTATACCCGCAGGCCAGAAGAGGGCACCAGACCCCATTATGAGATGGTTGTGAGCCACCATGTGGTTGCTGGGAATTGAACTCAGGACCTTTGGAAGAACAGGCAATGCTCTTAACCTCTGAGCCATCTCTCCAGCCCCCCAGAAAGTATTTTTATATTCTTTTTCTTTGACAGGTCATACTGTAGTTTAGGCCAGCCTGGAATTCACTATGTAGTCCAACCTGGCCTAAAGCCCATACAATCTCCTGCCTCGGCTTCTAAAGTACTGGCATTACCACTACATTTAGCTCAGAAATAACACTTCTTTAATTGTATGGAGGAATTCAGAATATCTTTTAAAGGGGGTCAAGGGGAAAACACTAGCCCTAAGTAAACTGGTTCTATACACTGAAGCAGTTGGCAAAGAATTAGATGCTATATTGGGTGTAATGGCATACACCTTTAATCCCAGCACTCAGGAGGCAGATGGATCTCTGAGTTCAAGGCCAGCCTGGTGTACAGAGTAAACTCTAAGAAAGGTAGCACTACGCAGAGGGACCTTCTCTCCAAAAAAGGGGGAAAAACAAAAGGAAGGAAGGAAGGAAGGGAGGGAGGGAGGGAGGGAGGGAGGGAGGGAGGAAGGAAGGAAGGAAAAAAGAATCAAATGCTAGGAAGCTTATCTGCTAAAGTGACATTTATTTCAACAGACATATTTGCTCAGTTCTTCACACTGATGGAGCTTAATAGGTTTAGTGCCCCCCCCCCTACACACACACACACTCATCGGTTTCTCCACTGAGGCAGTAAGTCAGATCAAGCTGATCTGAAAAAGTAAGCAACAGATTTATTTGAGCAAAGCAATTCCCAGGCAGGTTCTCCAGTCCCAGAGATCCAGACCAGAGACACTACACCCACAAATGAAAGCAAGGAGACTTTATAGATTGTAGGTGCCACATGATGACATGTCTGCCATGTGTCCAAGTACAGTCAAAATCTGAGCACCTGGGTGACTGGCAACTTCAGGAGAGGAAGCTGCAGTAGACTCCAAGAATGCAGAACTGGACTTTCTGGCACCTTTCCTTTGTTCAGAGACACTATGAATGGGCAGGTTTTGGAGAGAGAGACAGAAAATGAGACTTTCTGGATCGTGCAGGGGTAAACTGAAGGCTCCAATCCAACAGGGACTGCAACTCAGCAAAGTACACCTGCTAAGTGCTACAGTTAGTTTCTGGACTTTGAGGTCACAGGAGCCTCATGAGGCCATGAGAGGCCAAGGTTTCTTTATCACGTAAAAGATAAAAGATATTCAAGTGCCTGTATGAGCTTGTATCTCTAGAAAAGCTTCCAGTATCACAAAACTGGTTTGCCAACATGTCAGGTTGCCAACGTGTCAGTTGCTGAGCCAACAAGAATTAGTGTTCCCAAGGCTATAAATCTCCAGGCTCCTCACCTTGACTGCGCAAGGGGAAAGGTGGGGAGCTTTACAAGGTGCTGGTGGCTGTATCACACCTTCCAAGTTTCTGGCTGACCTGGTCTGGGATGTGACCTGGCCATTGAAACTTGTGCTTCTACACATGGGCTTGAGAAGTTTGACTGTGGGGCCTTTGTGGTTTTTGAGAACACAGATAATTCAGAGCAAGTTAAAAACACCTATTCTTCCTCCCTTGCTATCACAACTCTGTAAGAATAAGCTAATATAGGAGATACATGGCCATGAGACTCATCAACACAATCTGTCTTCTCCCCATTGCGGTCACTGTAGCTCCCTACCATGAACTTGCTTGAGGCTTTTAATGCTACCTAAGTTTACAGCAACTCTTCCAGTAAGAAAAACAGTCACCTACTATATGGAGAAGCTGAGATTTATGAAAGTATTCCTGTACATTCGACAGAAAAGATAGGAATGTTATTCGAAGTCCTGAGTTCAATCCCTGTACCACAAAAACAAAAGCTACCAGATTATACCAACACCACAGAAAAAGTACTGTATAGAAGTGTGTGCTCATCTCAGAAAGTCTAGCACTTGGGAAATCAAGGCAAGAAGATTAAGAAGTCCAGGTCAGAGGCCAGTAAGATGGCTCAGAAGGTAAAAGTGTTTGCTGCTAAGACTGACAACTTAAGCTCAATTCCTGGTATCCACATAAAGAAAGAAGAACAAACCCTTGTCTTAGAATGTGTACATACGGTTGCTAGTACACACACACATTCATTGAATGACCAAATGTACAAAGTTTTTAGAAACAAATATGTACAACATTGATTGTTTAATCTAAGAAGTGACTTTACAAATTTTCTCTGTACTTTAATTACTATTTGGTGTCTTTAAATTTTTCATAACAAAAAGTTGTGAGAAAAAATAAGATGTCTGAATTGACAAGCAGAAAATAGAAACACTGATCAATATGTGCTGAAGCTAATGCATTCAGATGCAGACAGCTGACTCTGTGTGATCATGGTCAAACTTTATATTTTTTTTCTTTTTTGGGTTTTTTTTTTGTTGTTGTTGTTGCTTATTTTTCAAGACAGGGCTTCTTGGTTTCTCAGTAGCTATGGAACCAGTCCTGGAACTTGCTCTGTAGATCAGGCTGACCTAGAGCTCACAGAAATCCGCTGGCCTCTACTTCCCAAGTGCTGGGATAAAAGGCGTGCGCCACTACCGCCTGGCCAAATTTTATATTTTCATGTATTTGAAGATGTTCATAATGAAGTGTTGGAGGGAGAAGTTGTGACAAAACTTAGGAAAATCATAAAATTGACATTAAAAAAAAAACCTACTGGAACTAAAAAGTACTATAAAAAGACTGAAAAATACTCTAACTTGCCAAAGTCTTATCTACAAGCAATAATTACAAATGGAATATTACTTATATTAGCGCCCCAAAAATATAAAATACTTAGATAGAAGCCTGAAAAAAAGAAGCAAGATCTACATAGGGATCTACAAAACTCTGACAGAAGACATCACAGAAGAACGAAATGATCCCTGCTCGAAACAGGGAGCCTCAGTCTTGGGATGTGTCAGTTCTTCCCACTTGGATCTGTAGATTCACTCTCCCATGAGTGTTCCCTGACCTTAGGCAGACTGGGGTAGGGACCTCTCCTCCACATAATCTTAGTACCAGTATATTTCTGGTAGGATCCTTTTTACTTCTGTGGTACTGAAGATCAAACCCAGAGCTTTCAGTATGCTAGGTAATTGCTCTACCGCTCAACTATCCTCCCTAGAGCCCTATGGACACTCCTTATTCGTATTTTATTCCAGTACTGTTTTATCTAGCATATAAGCAAGTCCTCAGAAACAAACAATGAATGAATAGATAACTCAAAATACATAATCACTATATGGCTTTGTGTGAATTATACAAACATATGCAATATATGTGATATCAACAATAATATAAAAGTTATCCCATAGCTCTTTAACATTAATACTTTTTTATCATAGTTCATTTGAGATATATGAGTTAATAGCTAACAATATCCAAAGTCCAAGACAATTTCCTTTTGTTTTGTTTTGCTTTGTTTTGCGAGACAGGGTTTCTCTGTAGCTTTGGAGCCTGTCCTGGAACTAGCTCTTGTAGACCAGGCTGGCCTTGAACTCACAGAGATCCGCCCACCTCTGCCTCCCCAGTGCTGGAATTAAAGGCTTGTGCTACCACCGCCCAGCCCAAGACGATTTCTAATAGCTAATAGGAAAGGGTGAATTTGTTTTCATGACAGCAAGTGGTTTTGCTTTTTTTTTTTTTTAACACTACCTGCTGCTTGGATCTCCATATCCATACTGGTTTAGCTTTGATAGTACCAACATAGGAGCTAAAGACTGGGCAGGTCTGGTAAACAAAGCACTGATGCTAAAAACCATCAAGGAAAGGGGAGACCTAAAACAGACAAAAATAGCATTGGTCTTAATATAAATCACATTTGTTGCATTTCTTCTTCTTTGAGACAGTATGTCTCACTATGTAGCTCTCTGACTTGTCTAGAATTCACTCAGTAAACCAGGCTAGCCTTGAACTCACAGAGACCCACCTGCTCTGCCTCCCAAGTACTGGGAATAAAGGTGTGCTCCACTGTCCAGCACATCTATTGTATTTCTGTACTCAAGTACGTATGCATATCTATGTGTGAAGGGCCTCTTCACGCATGAAGTTCCCTTTGACTTCAGTAAACAACTATAGAAATAGCTTAGCAATTATAAAATAAATATTAATTCCTTAGTTTAAGGGATAATAGAATTCAACTCCTTTATTGATATTGTTTTGTTGTTTTTATTTGTTTGAAACAGACTATGTAGCCCAGGCTGAACTTCAACTCACCATGTAGCACAGTCGAGTCTTGAACCTGGGGTGATCCTTCTGCAGCAGTCTCCACATTGCTAGGATTACTGGTGTGAGTCACAGCACACAGCTGTTTACTGAGACAAGGTCTTGCTAAATGGCTGGCCTAGAGCTCAAGTGATCATCCTGCCGTTCTTCAGGAAGGTGCCACTGTGCTTATCTGACAGTAGGCAGCCATACGGTACTTATACATGCTGGCATTTGGTAAATGTTGGTGCGTTACAATTCATACGACATAAAACAAATTGAGATTTCCCTTAGGCTCCTAGGCTTTAACCCTGATGTAGTAATGGCTGTGTGAACCTAAGCACTAAAAATTATGATGTTCTTTCAGAAATATGAAAATATTGCCAGGGGCGAGCGGTGTAAAGGATAGAGCACTTGTCTAGCATGTGCAAAGCCCTGAGGTTCAAACCACAGCATTGCAAACCAGGAAAAGAAAAAGCTGCTCAGGATGAATAGGCACGAACATTCCATGATATTCTGCTCCCTTAGTCCTAGTGACAGTCATTAGGATCATCACGCTGGTGTTGTAGAATATTAGTTTCAGATGTGCTACATTTGTTTAGGCTGTGGAACATGTGTTTAATGATGCAAAGATGGGTCGCATTTTTTATGTTGCATTTTTTTTTAACTCTGTAAAGCTGTGTTACTTTGCCTGCCTAAAACACCTGACTGGTCTAATAAAGAGCTGAATGGCCAATAGCTAGGCAAGAGAGAGAAATAGACAGGGCTGGCAGGCAGAGAGAATAAGTAGGAGGAGAAATCTAGGGAAGAGCAGGGAGCAAGAAAAGGAGGAGAGGAGGACACTGTGGACCAGCCACCCATCCACACAGCTGGCCATGGAGTAAAGAGGGAAGAAAAATACATAGAATAAAAAAAGGTAAAAAGCTCAGAGGCAAAATGTTGTTAAAGAGAAATGGGATAATTTAAGTTAGAAAAGTTGGCTAGAAGCAAGCCAAGCTAAGACTGGGCATTTATAAGTAAGAATAAGTCTTCATGTATTTATTTGGGAGTTGAGTGGTGGGCCCCCAAAGATTTAAAAAAAAAAACTACACTCTAGTATATATTTATAGTGTCAACATAATTAAGCTGTAGAGACTCTGGTAAGTCCTATCTGTGTGACATTTTGTATTTAAGATCTGAATAAATGTCACGCAGTGGTAGCACACACCTTTAATCCCAGCACTTGGGAGGCAGAGGCAGATCTCAGTGAATTTGAGGCCAGTCTGGTCTACCAAGTAGTTCCAGGACAGCCAGGACTGTTACATGGAGAAATTCTGTCTCAAAAAAACAGAAAAGAAAGAAAGAAAGAAAGAAAGAAAGAAAGAAAGAAAGAAAGAAA